CCCCCCCCAATGTGGGTGCATGATAACCTCCAGCTAACTCTTGGTTATGAGACACTGTGACCATTTAAGCCAGGAAACGGTGGATGGATGGTGTGGGGGACTTGTGCTTCTTGATGGAGGCAGGCTCACCAGGGATGGGGTGACAGGAGGGCAGCTGCGGCTCCTCCTGGAAACAGACACTCTACGTATTACCGAGAACAGCCCAGGTGACTGTAATGGTTTTCCCAAGGGTCACTGGTATTGCACCAGTGTGCAAGCCAAGGCTGAGGCTGTGTGTCCCAGCAGCACACCTGTACTCTTAGCAAAATCAACCTCCGTGTGCTCATACCAGTGCAGCACAGGCAGGTGCAACTGTTCTTCACAAGCACCTTTAAACTGCATTTCAAACCTGGTAGAAAACAGCTATTTAGGCATTTTCATGCTCAGGCAGAAATACACTGGACTATACCATCAACACTCCAAGTGGAAGGCAAATGCCCTCTGCAGAAAGCAAAACCTGTGTGTTTTCAGTGTGGGTGTTCATGGAAGCGTGAGGTGAGCAGGCAGCAGATCCCTGTGCGCGTAGCAGACAGACAAACTGCTTCTTGCCTCTGGCCTACTGAGCTTCAGCCTCTCACCCAGCAGCTGCCATAGGGACCCACAAAAAATATCCCGTGATCGAGAGTGGGTAAATAAAAAAAAATTTAAAAAAAATCATACTGGTGTCAGGCTGCTGTCCTGTTAACCACCCTGCACACAGCTGCCATCTGTAGGCACCAGGGACTACAGGGCACGTAGGGACTGATGCAAACTCTGTCAGTGCTCCTCATCCCCTTTTTCAGAGGCCAGAGCTGCCTCTTTTCAGCTGCCACCATGCAAAGTTAAAAATCTTCTTGCTGCTGGTATAGCAGAGCCGAGATAGATGGTGCATTCGTATCAGGTACGGATGGAGCCCGTCATATTTATGGGGCACCCATGCCACAGCTAGAGCTAAAACAGCACCTTCAGGAAGATCTCAGCTGCTTGCTTCTCGCATCAGCCCTGATACAAACAGCGTCACTCACCCACTGCCTTCGAGCACCGAACGGCAAGCCTCAACGGACCTAGTCAGCTGGGAAGGTAACACCTGGTTAAACAATGTCTAACTACCCACATCTTCAGCGGATCCATATGTAAATTAAAGGAAACTGGGTGTTTATCACATATTTTAAAAAATTACTAATCCGTTCCCTCATCTCCCTGGTCCAGTGGGGTGTTTTGTTTCGGAGAGCTGTGGCTCAGCCTGGCAGCTTGAGTAAAACCTCTGAGCCACGTCAGGGGTCAGGAGCAGCGATACAGGTGGGGGGCTCACAGGGCAGACTGGACTGTAAAGGCCCTTAACTCAGTTTCAGTCCTTGAGAGCCCCATCTCATGGCACTGTCTCTGCAGTCGTTTTTAAGCCCCTTGCTCATCACGCTTATTCTAAACAAGTTTTTGTTTCAGAAATCCAGCGCACGTTGTCACTGTGGGTCAAACAAGATCCGAAAGGATCTATTATGGCCTTTCCAACAGTGAAGCTTTTTATATAGGTTATGATTAAAAACGTGAGGGAGAAGCAGCATCGCTCAGTTTTTCAGGGGGTAAAACAAGCCAAATCCCGTCAAGAAAAAAAGGTGTTGCTAAGGATGCTTGCGCACAGCTGCAAAGAATGCTGTGTGATACTCCACAGATAACATCGGTTTAAATAACAAGGCAGAATTACTGTGCTGGAGTTTTGTGAAGGGTTATGGCACAGATTAAGTAACCTTGATCAAAGAGCTCAGACAAATTCAGCAAATTAATTTGTAATTTTGCCACAGATGGGAATGCACTCCAGGAGAGGCAATCTGTTCTTCCATATGCACCAGTGAAATCAGTGTTATCAGCTCACCTGGGCTGGGACCGGGGTATTTATGCAAGTCCTTGGGTGGGAGCCATGCAGTAAGCTCTGGGTAAGCCGCATGCTCAGATCGGCAATGAAAAGGTTGAAAATATTTTGCTGCAGTCTTCCTGAGCAGGCAAATATTATCTGAAAAAAATCAAATCAAGGTGTCTCCCTTTGTGGTGTCCACCAAGCACAGAGTGGGGCTGTACACACTGGGATCGCTAAGTGGTGCCTGGGTTCATTTTCAGTGGGTGTCCAGAAGGGAAAGGGAGGGCTTGGTCATATCTCCTGACTCAGGCTGGGCTAACAGAGCCACAAGAAATCCTTCCAGTGGTGGTGGAGAGAGCAGAAAGCCCTGACCCAGGGGCTGTGAGCCCCACGGAACCACCAAAGCAGCCCCAAGCAGCCCCATGGCACACAGCGGGGCACATGGCTCCAGCCCTCCGTGACAGCACACGGGAAATGATGCTTTTAATGTTCAAGCGTTGGCTTAAAAATCAGTTTTCCAACACAGCTCTTCTCACCCCTGTGAACTGGTAACTGCCTGCCCAGCTGGGCCCAGACCCAGAGTCTGTACAGCCCTCACTGATGCTCTTGGGCTTCACGGCACCCAAAAACCCATCAGTGTAGGCATCACCAGGAAGATTTTGGGGTATCTTTGTGTCTCTTTTTCTTTTAAATTAATTCCTCCCTATGCCCCTAAAACACATTCCTGAATAAACGTGGTGTACGCAGAAGATACAGATTATCAGAGTATTGATGGAAGACAATTTTTTGCACTGTGTGTACGTTGCCTATGTGGTACATAGTCTATATTCTGTGTTTGTGTTTATACATTTACATAAAAATATGTCATGCAACTCTACTTAATTAACTCACACTATTTAATCTGGATGCTTCTGAAGAAATAAACTAAATGACGATTGTCTATTTTGTTCTCTTCCACAAGGAACTGAAAAAGCTCCGAGGATACAAGCAGACAATAGCCAAATAAACTCAAAGAACATAAAAATCAGTGAAGGCTGACAGCAACTCCTTTGTTAGTGCTGTGTTAACTTACTCATCAATGAGCTTTTTTTCATCGTCCCCACCCAATGCTGCATCCATTGCTTATCCCTAGACGTCGTCGCAATTTGCTGAAAGTTTAAGGGCGCAAAAAGCGTGGAATGAGGGTTTGTGCACTGAAACTCCCCGTGTTTGATTTCTAAGTGGCCACAGATGCCCACCTGCCTGGCAGGGTAAGACCCACGAAGCCAAGGAAACACGTTGCCCTTGGATTTAATTTAAAACCTCAGTTTTGAACTGAAGGGTAATCCTCACGCTGGCGAGCTCACTTCATTATTTTTTAAACATTTTTAAAGTGTTTTAGCAGCAATCAAAGACCGCGGATTAAACAGATAAGAAAAAGAGGATGCTTCATACATGTGGGTCACACACGCGATGCTCCCCGAGAGCCAGGGCTAAAACTGAATGCAGCAAAGCAAACGAAAAGGGCTTCTCTGTCTCATTAGCAGTATCCATAACGGCAGAGACACCAACTGCCCGCTGAGAACAAGGCACAGGTGGTGCTTGGATGCATTTCTCTGACACCAGGCACCTGCTGGGGTTGCCACACTGGGAGGAACACAGCCCTCCCAACCCTGCACACCCTGCAGCAGTGGTGTGGGCAGTCAGCTCATCCTTAGGGATGAGGGCTCATCGCTTAAACCTGTTCTTCAGGTCAGGTTTCCAAAACATCTTCCCACCTTGTTGCTGCTTATAATAATACCTCACTTGTTCTCCTGCCGTGGCGGGTTGTGTCCTTCATTCCCTGGCACAAGCCACACAAAGGTGAACGTCTCCAGTGAAGAGCATGGCCTTTGGTGGAACACGAGACCAGAAGACTCAGGCAGGCCTTTGTAAGGTGCTTTATCAACCTTTCACAGCCCCAGCCAGCGAGGTTTTGACGGGCTATGCCCCAAGACTGCTTACACTAATCACACGCTTGCTTTCACACGCAGATGCCAAAGGCAGTCGTTTGTCTTATGACAGTTCCTCATGTGGAACACAGTGGGACAGACTCAAGATTGCTGGGGGTGAAGGCAGCACACACCTCATGGCATCCTTCCTCTGCCTCCCGGCATGACCCAGCCTGCGAGGCACATCCGTGGTCTCCTGGCTTGCACCCCAAACTGCAGCAAGGGCTGAGGGAAGGGCCATAACCGAGCTGGGGAAACCTTAAGGAAGTTAAATCTACAGGAGAAGAGCAGTGAGAGCCCAAGGGGTGCTCTCCTCTGTTCTGAGCAGATTACAAAAAAAAAAAAAAAAAAAAAAAAAAAAAAAAAAAAAAAGTATTGGGAGAAGAGCAATGTGTCACACTGGTGACGGAACTGGAAGTGCAGCCTCCGACACACAGCCTGAAGTGAAATCAGAAAAATGGTGGTTTTGTAAACACAGAGCCTCCAGCCCTTTCGGCACTGGGAACTGTGGGATTTCACGCCTGGCAGGAGCACGGGCCGCTGCCTGCAGCGGTCAGCTCAGGCTCAGCGCCGCGCACACGCAGACGGCCGCGGGACGCGTTGACCTCTGTTGGCCCTGGGGACAAAGTCCCTGCAGCGGGGACACCAGGAGCCCCGGCCCAGGCAGATAAGGCAGCACAGCTCCGCGGACGCCTGAGACAAGGTACGTGGGGTTTGTGCGATTGCACGTAGCGGAGGGACGCGCAGATTTTTCTTACGCGGTTTCACAGAGGAGGGAGCTGGCGGCTGAGCCTGGGACGGCTGAAGGGCAGGGCTGGGTTACTCCAGTCTTGTGTACTTAGCACGCTTGCTTTCAGGTTTTTCCTCCCTCCCAGGACAGTAAGACACCTTGAATTAAAGGTCTGAATATCAGAAAAGCAGGAATTAAGAACATATTAGCAAGAGTTTCCACACTTTCAATTTATAACAAAACAGTTCTGAAAGGCAGGCAGCCTCTTCAAGAGGAAATCTGCTTTATTTTCCACACCCCACGCTTTTTTTTTTTTTTTTTTACATTAGTATCCTGTGACAAATCCTGCTAACACAGGAAATACAAGGTTGGGA